CCCCTGGATCCGCCCTTGAGTAGTAGAAACCAAGCGTGGGACTTTGAGTTTTTGGCCTAAATTCAACAAAGATTGTGAATAGGAACATGGATTTATATGAATTTGGGAACGGATGATAAGGGAAACAAAACCTCCAAAAGTACCTAATATGTAGATACTAATTTTTTTTTTTGTTAATTTTTTAATTAAGTTTTTAATTAATTTTTCCAATTCAAAAATTCTCCCAAAACGCCGCAACATGAGTTAATCCTAATCAATCTGATTTTCAAAGCATTTTTCTTGGGTATTTCGACTCAGTAATTTTGGTATTTAGACAGAATTTCCTCACGTCTTCTATTACAGTCACGTCATCTATAAAAAGTGATCTTAATTTACAGTAAATAACCAGTTCTTTACCAAAAAAATAATTTGTTCAAAAACGAAAACTCAGAACGATTTTTTACACATTTGTATTAACTTGAGGAAATACTGTCTTTCTAAAAGACGGAATTTTTGAGGCGAAATACCAAAAAGAAAAGTTTCAAATTAATAGAAGAAGAGAAGTCTAGCTTCAAATTGGTTTAAACGCCCTTCCCATTCATGTGAAACGAAAACAATCGTGGCAAAAAGAGTCAACATTATGGTTCGATACCTTTTAAAACATAGTAAATAATATAAAAAACTTTGGTAGAAAAAGTAGCAATTTGAGGGAAAATCGTCCATTACACACTTCACTTAAGGGAGATTTTTTTGGTGGAAATAACGTTTGATTTTCCATACAGTGTCCTTTCCGAATTATGAATAATTGAACTGTAGCTAACTACAGATTTTCTATCTACTTCCACTCCATTAAGCTGAAATATTCAATAATGGACGTTAAATGACGCTCATTTGGTAACATGCTCCTCGTACCATTATTATATTATTTGACCAAAAAAAACTGAATTTTTTGCTGAAAATTGCTCTTAAAAAGCTTTTTCTGGCAAATACTTTCAGAAAATGTAGGTCTTAAACCCCCAGCAAAATGCATTTAAACTAGAGATGTAGTGAATATTCCATAGATGCAATTCAAAACATATTCATTCACTTTGCACAAAGCAAATACCGATAAAGTTTACAATGTGCCAGGTCATCTACACATTGACTGAAATTATCCCATTAAAAGACAAATAGATATAGTGAGTGTATTGATTGCATTATGCAACTGTTTGATGGCTGGTAGGGGTGATTACATGGCCGGTTGGAAACCATAAATGTATCTGAACGATCCAGTCAATTTATTAATTCGCATTCCGGCGATGTAATTTAATTTCTTAATTCATATTTGATAAGGGTCAATATCCCAGCCGAGTCCCTTTCACATAAATTTTACTTAGACTACGAAATTGACCCTCTAATGCGGGCGGGTAAACTTGAAATTGTGGTCTATAAAAATAATAAAACGGCTTTTCCGAGTCTTATGTAAATATCGGCATGAGGGGAAAGAACGATTTTCGATCGATTTCGGCTCCACTGTCGAAAGCTTTCAGTGATTGCATGGGTTCGGCTTTTTTTCGTCGAAATTGAAAAATTGAGTAAATAGGATGGGAAATCTACACAGTTATTGAGTAAGCGCGAGAAAACGGTTTAAAAAAACTCGTGTGAATAAAACGAGGGATAGATGGCCGCGATGTTCTTTTCTTTCTCCTCCTAATTACCGGAGTTATTTTTGAGTCTCAGGTTATTCTTATTCTTCGTGTCGGGATTAAAAATTAATTTCAAAAAATAATTAACAAAACATCATTTGGTAAAATGGTGCCTGGTAGTCCAATTCAGTCTTTAGCGAAAATTGTTCACGATAATATAGATCGAAAACAACACGAAAAAATCAAATACAACTGATTTGGGTTTCTAGAACTGGGAAGTTTGTGGGCCTTTTAGGTCATAGCGGAAAAAAGTTTCTTCCTGAGGTTTAGCAAGTACAAGTGGCTTGAATCGTCACAGTTAAACCACTTATGAAGATGCAAGCCACTCATGCTTGCGAAACGTCAGGAAAAATATTTTCCACGACAGCCGCAAAGCCCGAAAAAAAACACTAGTTTAAAAGCAACTTTGTCCAGTTAAGAGCTAGTGACAACATCTCATTTGCTTTCAGTTTGGTGCATTAGGGTGTTTTCATTGTATCAAAAATTCCTTCAAATTGAATATTAATCTATGGTAATATATATATATATATATCTGAAAGATTAAAAAAGTTCATATTATTTATCTATTGCTATTTGGTTAAATATTTAATAAAAAAATTCAGCGAAAATTCAAATTATTCATGAATCTATAAAACGCAATCTTATTGGTTGTGACGTCTCTGGTCATATAAATGGCGGATTGTTTACGTTCTGTGCATAGTATTTAGTTGTGTGGTTGTGTTTCATTAATTATTTTGTGGATTTAAATAATTTATAGTTTGTGTTAAACTAAAAAATGGCTTCAGAAGAACTTAAACTTAGAACTTAGAACGAAGAAAAAAGAAACTTAGAACTTCCTTAAAGCGTCAACCAAAAATTTACCATGTGTTCATATTTTTGTGGATACCGAATTTTTAAAAATCGACGAACGCTTTAATTCAGCCGAATTTAAGGGTGTCAAAGCAGCAGCATAAGTAACAATTGGTTTAAATTAGGTAAATGATATATAGAATTTCACTTATTCAACTTAATCTAACCTAAACACATGGCTGCTTTAAAAGTAAAATGAACTCTTAAATTTGAATTTTGGGCATCACGAGAACAATATGGTGATATCGTATATGTGGAATTGAAACGGAAGGTTCTTTGTGCACTGTACAAGGTAGAATTTGCCCAGAACAGAGAGTACGATCGAAGGCATATTCTGTCTGCCTCATCAATAGCTTTTTGTTCGTACTTTCATTAAAATGATTTGACTCGCAACAAAAAAACATTGATTTTGATTTAGGAACATCACGTTTAGCTGCTTTGAACCATAAAACTTTACGTGCATAATCATGGGGAACGGTTAGAAAAAGTTTGTTTGGAGCACTGATTGAGGTATTCTTGCATCCTGGCACAAAACATTGTTTTGTGATCCATACATGTCACTATTTTCCATAATGCAAGATAATAATAATCATAAAATAATGATAATCCCAATAACTTAAATAATAAAACAAAGCTGCGAAAACAACAAAATAAACACGAGACACTTTGTTGATATGACCTGTTACGTCACAATCGGGATAGGCAACCGACGATACGGATTCGACGTTTTTGGCGTAAAATATATAATTTGAATTTAAATTCGCTTTAAAATTATTATGCAGAGTTTTTTTGCAAAACAAATTATATCAGTGTGATGTTTGCCATAACTACTTTCTATATATCAACATTAAAAAAAGTGAAAACACCCTATTGTGAGTGTAGAACCTAAGCAAAGACTTGATTGGCTTAAGACTATATTGGGTAGAATTTCTAGCGTTTGTCCAGTCGTAACCGAAATGGATTTGCGATGAAATGCTGAGAATTTTTCTGGTTTTCACTTAGAAAGTGGTACTGCTGCCTGTACTTTTATCACCGCAGTTAACAAATCACAATCTGTGACTATTTTTGGGATTATGTTGATATTTTTAGGAACTTGCTTCAGTTTACACCATCCCCTAGCCGAATTCTAGCTGATTGTGTTTCAGAAACATATTTGTGTATTTTAAAAATAAATTTCTCTATAAATTTTTTTTATGGGCACGGTTTTGTTCATCTTGAGAGGCTACTAGTCTTGCAACAGGATTTTTGCGCCGTTCTATAATGGCAAAAAATCCACCAGTTTCCAACTTTTCTCAGTTATCAAAAGAGTTTTGGTTGCTTGCGAAACCGCAGGAAGAAATTATTTTCTACGGCGCCGAAAAGGCCGACACTCATCAGTTTCAAGCAGTAATTTTTTGCTGATGTTTTGGCACGAGTGACTGGGTAAATTGAGGAAATGAAGGAAACAAAAAACATGAAAAAAAAAATTGATAATTTATGTGAATATTGTGTAGGTTATCACAAGTTTTTATTGTTACAGGACGGTCAAAACAACAACGGTTACGTTCCATACGTGGACTATTCCAGAGACTACAATCCGCCAATGATGCAGCCTCCTATTTCGACGGCAATGGGCGGTGAAAGTCTTCAGTCGACTCGGCTGCAGTTGAATTCGCTGCAAAACCATCAGCTCAGCATGGGCGGAAACGGCAACAGTTTCCCGATGAACGATCTGTCGGACTTGCATATGTCGCAGTCGAACGGTTCCATTCCAGGGATTGATCCTCGGTTCAGTGCCACCTACGGGAATCCATATCTTCGGAACCCCAGCGTTGGATTGCCCACTCCCAACACGGCCAATCCAGTCGCAACTCCTGCTCCTCCTCCATACAGCAGGGAGAACTCGAGATTGGCCATATCGAGTAGTGGGATGATCACTGCTAGTGCAAATCCTGTGAACACTGTAGTGTCGAACGGTGCCAATGGCAGTGTTCCTCAAGTGACGAGACTGCCCAGTTCACCTACCAGTCAGTATATTGTGCCCAGCTCGACAATAAAACGAGGGACTTTGGCTACCCATGTGTAATATTTGGTGTAAAAATTTTAAGGTAAATCAATGAAACCAGAAATTTAAAAGTGCTGCTGTGTCGCGCTCTAGTGCTGGCAGTAACATTTCGAGACGAACCCCTCTGTACCATACAAAGTGATTTCTTTAGTAGAGAATTGTTAGAGACAAACACTGAAAAGACTGATATAAACTAATGCCGTTTTGTTGAATCTCGTAGGATTCGTAGTGGAAAATTTACACAAAAATTGACGACACTGTTCTGAAATTCCTGTCAATTTGTCGGTAGTGTTCAGGGTCTTTGATGCCCCATTATGGGCACTTTCTAGACAATTATTCAAATGGTTGCCGAATTAATCGAGTTTTTTTTATAGCGTTGAACTGTTCAGCTGCCGGTTTTTCCCCAAACATAGACAAATATTTCAGGGCTTACTGGAAAAAATCAAGCACTAATTAACCTTCGCAATAATAAAACAAAACATTCACTGAGAACCGATATGTTTGAAATAAACTGATGAATGAACCTTGTGCCATACTACTTCCATACTACACGAAAAAATCAGGCAGCTTTCAACGATTCAACCGTTCTGTAAATACCTACATATCAAGTGAAAGTCGGACTTTTACAAAACCACCGACAATATCTTGTCAATTTTTTATCAATAACTAACTTTTTTACGACTTTTACTACCTTAGAAATCGAACTAACAGTTCTTCTATAGATCATTTATATTTTGAACGATGCTAGCGCTTCCATGTAGTCAATGTTTATCCGTTTATTGTTTCTAATATTTATGCGGACGAAACGTGATGTTTGTGCTGTTTTCTCTACAGGAAAAGTGCCAAGCTTATTATCAATCAACCCTGTGCAACAACAGGACCGTTTTTTTAGAAAAACGAGGTGGATGATGTTAGTTCGTCGAACAGCAAACTAAACATTTAGTGCTTATCACAACTTAAAGTAGCTTGTGCTAAAAAGCAAGAGATAATACAAATAACTTAACTACAACACATAACTTCCTCGCGCCTTCGCTTACGAATTGATGGAGTGCTTTAATGTCTATACAAATAACGAATTATTTATCAAACGAACACTTTCTGATGTACATTAATATTGTCATTTTAAAAGGCAGAAAATGTTGAGGCAAAATACCCGCACAATAAAGTTTTGAAAATAGAAACTTTGAACACAGTGTTCACTATAAAGCCGAGCGTACAAATTTAAAAAAACCTACGCAATCAGCTGTTGGAGGAAGAAAGTTAAGTTTTTATTAAGTTCGTGAGCTACAAACGCACAAAGAGCAACTACAAAACTCAATTTGTACGTTTATCTGCACAAACTAGGCGCTTGAAATACAGGGTGAATCATTAAAAGTTGATTCACTTCACACAAACTTAACGTATTTAATAACCTCTTCATTAAGTTCAACTTGTTCATAAGCTTCCTTGAGAAGATTGCTTTAGTTCCGAACTATCCACAGCAACTTTCTGATATAATCCGATTACTATTGTTTGTACAAGTAATTCCTACGGAACAGGCTAAGGAAATTTATTTACTGCCAAATTAAACGCAACGTTGTCGATAAGCTTGTCACTTTTTTCTTGATTACATCACTTGCAAATGGAAATTCCCCTGTCGTTTTGTTGTTAAAAATTCAATTTCGTAATAATTCACGTAACAATCATGTGCTTACTAAATACGTTATTTTTATGAAAATTGTTAACTTTAAAAAATGTTCTTGTTAATAATATAAAGTATATACCAAAGATATTTTTTGTATTTGTAAAAAATTAATAAAAATGTATATTTTTTAACGTATAATTTCGACGTCAACGATTAAGCACGCACAGTGTGCATCGTTTCATTTGGGGCTGTCGCCCGCCTATTAGAACTGTGTTGTTTCAACTGGCCTAGAAAATGTAGTCAGACGTATCTCATACTATAAGATTTTCGCATCTGATACATAATAATGTATTATTACTGTATTTTTAAGTTATTTTGTACTTAATTCTCGTTTTCCACCACATTTGCTCACTAGTTACGCTCCTAAGTTGTATCTATTCAATGTATATTTTTGTATATTTTATTTGTATGTATATTATTTTTTATTATACTTTTTACAGTCAGTGTAAGTATTTTTTTATTACCGAGTAATGGTTTAACGTTGCCTGCCATATCAGAACCAATTTTTTTCGTCAAACTTAGTTTTATTCATATGGAGTTAATAGGAAAATTTTATTTTCATATAAATCTTCTAAAAACTATTAAACATTGAGTATTTCGCATTAACGCACAATTACCTAAATACGACCTTCCTAGGCACAGAAATGTGAACTGACTTATTTATCAATGTTTGAGATAAAAAAATCAATTACCAGAATAGTTGCGTTAAAAAATAATTAAAAAAGTAAGTGTTTCAAGCTAAATTTAATTCATAAATCACACTTTTTAAATTATGTATTTATAAAACCAAGTTTGACCTCCGCAAAGACTTCCATTTGAAATTTCCGTTTGTACTACTGTAATTGCGTGGTAGACACATTTAGCTCAAAGTAATAAGAATATTGTACATATTGAACATATCCTGCAAGTTTTCTAATCTAGAATACTGTTATTATATTGTGTATAAGAATTTTTTTAATCTTGAAAAATAGCAATATTTAATTTAAAAAAACCTTTGTGATTGTAAAATAAAAGCCTACTTCATTACAACAATTTTTTTATTTGTGACCGTTTGTTGATAAATTCGCCGCACAATTAGCAGTACAGCTTCGCAATAAATAAAACATTTGCGTTCGTAATTATTGATCTTTTTGCCAAACTTTTTGGATAAACCCAAAATTGTCACACACACCTGGTTGATTCTTATTACATTGTACAGCACAAGTTGGGTGTTTAAATAAGCACAGAAATCTTGCAAAATCTCTTCCTAGCGATAAGAAAAATTGCCATTTTTATTGTTGTCTTACAAGATTTATGCCCTATAATCTAACAAGAAAACAACCAAAATTTGCCAGCTCAAAGAAAGTTAGTCTTCCAAAAAGAAATACTGACCAGCTCTCTTCTGTTCCACATCCTTGACCGACTCTTGCTTGTTAATTCGAGGCCTAAAATTGTTCGGATCTCTTCGGAAAGTGATTCCCAGCAGCTCCAAGAACCTGTTCATGCCTGCCAGCAGGGTTTGCGGTGAATTAGCAGTTGTGTCTACCGATGGTTGGCCTTCGAAGACAATTACCCGATCCGCAAGATAAGTTGCCATGATGAAATCGTGCTCTACTACAAATCCGGTCTTCTTGGCGTGCAAAATAAATCTGGAAAGAAATAAATGTATTCAGGACATTTGTTTGTGTAAAAGGCTCTTAAGTACGGAAAGAATTATTAGAATCCAGTTAATTATTATTTTAATATCAATAATCGTAATAGTTTTATGTAATAAAATCTAAAAAAAAAACATTTTTATGGCCGAGAAAAAAATAGAACATTCAAAGGGGGGAGCCCCTTTGAATGTTTTTTCTTTGCATTTCTTCCCAGTCGCAAGTATTTTTAAAGATAACTTGATCACTTTCATCTTCCATAAATGAATTCAAACGGATTAATGAATCGAAGTTGTGATTGGTCAAATAAAGACTGTGTTAAAAGCTTACCTTTTAATTACTTTGGCTGCGACCAAACGCTGCTCGGAATCGAGATAAGCACTGGGCTCGTCGATAAGATAGACATCGGCAGGTTTGCCCAAGCAAAGAGTCATTGCAACTCTTTGCAGTTCTCCTCCAGAGAGATTCTGAACCTCTTGGTCGATGATGTCTTCGATTTTCAGTGGCTTCATCACATCAGCGATGAACTGAAAAGGATATTTTTTTAAAATAAATAATCAAAGCTAAAAACTTAATGCTTACTTGTGGGTGAATGTAGGCGTCCCTAATTTTTTCATGCAGCAATTGCCGGACTAATCCGTGGGACCTGGGGCTGATTTTCTGCGGCTTGTAACTGATGTGCAGCTGAGGCAAAGTCCCTGAAAACAAACAAGATTTGCCAATGTTTTTGTGGACAAAAAGCAGTTTGAAAAAAGTTTGATGACCTTTTATGACTGAGTTTGCTCAGTCATAAATATTTACCTGATCCCGTATCGGGTTCCAAGTTACCGGCCAACATTCGAATGAATGTGGTCTTTCCTGTACCATTTTCACCTAATAGCACCAAAATTTCCGAGTCGGAAAACTGTCCCTTTTTCACCGCCAACTTGAAGTTGCCCATAGTTTTCGACATGGTCGGATATTCGTAATGATTCATTCGCTTCACCTCTTCTTCAGTGGCGGATTCAGCCACTTTGAATACCAGCGATTCATCGCGGAAACGCAGATTTTCGGTGGGAACAAACCCATCCAAAAAGATGTTAATACCTAAATAGAGAGAAAACGTTAATAATAAAAATACTTCATGAGTAATGAGTATATACCTTCACGAACAGAGAAAGGCATTGTAACTACACCATAGGCACCAGGAACACCATAAAGGCAACAAATAAAATCTGATAGATAATCCAGTACGCTCAAATCGTGCTCAACGACAATTATAAATCTGTAATTTAACAAAACATCATATAGAAAAAAAGCAAACAGTTGTGAATATGGTGAAAATTTACTTATCGGGACTAAGTAGGGATCGGATAGTTTTAGCGGCATTCAAACGTTGTTTCACGTCCAAGTAGGAGGAAGGTTCATCGAACATGAAAATATCTCCATCTTGAATGCACACCATGGCACAGGCGAATCTTTGAAGCTCACCACCAGATAACGCACTGATTTCTCGTTCTTTAATGTGTTTCAGATCTGGGAAAAAATATAAAAAATACTGCATAGGCATTTGAGTTTTCCGTCTTGAGAGTGTTTAACGCATTTCCCGATAAGTTTTTAAAAGATGTTTATTTAAGCAAAATAATCGGGGATTGGAAAAATCAGAATATCGATTTGAGAGTACAGTGATTTACTGCTTATTTACTTGCAATATAAATGCTCAAAACAAAAATAAAAATAATATTGGCTTACGCCTCAACTTACCAAGCATGCCGCAAATAATATCCTGATTTTTCAGCTCATCCTTCTTATCTAGCAATAGCCCCACAGTGCCTTTTACGGCCTTGGGAATTTGGTCCACATACTGCGGCTTGATCAGCGCCTTCAAGTCATCTTCGAGAATTTTTGTAAAATAGTTTTGCAACTCACTTCCCCTGAAGTGGCTTAGAATTTCCGTCCAGTCTGGAGGTTCCTAAATTGGCCAAATTCTCAAACAAACTGGTAAAACGCCATGTAGATGTTCTTACCATGTATCTCCCCAAATTTGGCTTCTGCTTGCCAGCCAAAATTTTCAAAGCAGTGGATTTGCCGATCCCATTAGTCCCGACTAGCCCAAGAACTTCGCCCGGACGGGGAATGGGGAGACGATGGAGTTTAAACGAGTTCTTGCCATAACGGTGAGTGGTCTCACGCAGTAAGTTGCTGGGAAGGTTGATGATGTTGATGGCATCAAATGGGCATTTCTGAAAACAAAGAAAGCACCCTGAGTTTTCCGTTAAGTCCTGTAGAGTTCAAAGCTCTGAACTGCATTCATAACATGTAGTGTTTTAAAATGTCGTCAGCATTAGTTGAAACTTACCTTCACACAAATACCACAACCAATACACAGTTCTTCAGATATAACAGCAATTTTGCTGTTAGGGCTTACTTCAATGCAAAGCTTGCCCATACGAACAACAGGACAAGACTTTTTGCATTCTTGCCGGCATCGTTTGGGTTTGCACTTGTCGGCATTGACGATTGCAATACGAGTGAGCTTGTCGGTCTCCTCGATTTCGCCTCTCCTGCGGGACATTGTCCTGGACATGTTGAAAACAATATGTTAACTTTCCAATATAACCTCAAAAGACACGTATTTCAAGCTACAGCTCTTGAGTGGTAATTAGCGTGACTATTAATTAGGGCTACTCTGAAAATACTCTATGTGTTAAAGTATGCAAAATCAGGCCGAAATTTTACCTAAATTGTGTGAAAATAAACACACAAAATGTTCTATGCTCGGTCCAAATGACCGACCATGAGGAAAAGGATTTGTCAAATTTGTCAAAAGGGAAAGGTGAAAGTACATTTCACAGATTATCGAACTATACATTTTAAATAGGTTGCAAACAATGCATACTGAAGCCATTGAACAACCAAATATCTACAAAATTTATTAAATTATTAAAAAGAGTCACGACAATGAATCAAAATTAAATAGATGGAGTCATTATTGAATTTGGCAAAACAAACTAGTTAAAATGGCCGTATTTCGATAAAATCAGGCGATGAATTTCCAAATATTCCAGCCATGACATCATGAATTTCAACAGTGGTGGCTTGCTTGAACATTATCTTTTTATGTAGAGATAGTAGTAATCACAGGTCACAGCGGTACTTTGTAATATGTGGTAGCAATTAGCATGCACATAGAAGTAAGGTGTAAATTAATAAGATGCCCATGCTAGCAAGCAGCTAGCATGGAGAGAATGCGATGCTATGGCATACGGATGCCGGAGCTGACAAATTCTTAGAGAGGACTACAAGTTTTAAAGGATAACTCCCGAAAACTCGTAGTACCAAAAAGGGGGTTTTTTAGTTGGTAAGAATCCAACACTACCCAGGGTTCGGAACACTGGGTGTCTTCGCGAAGATTTTTATTCCTCCAGCGGCCGGGCAAACCAAAAAAAAAAAAAAATTGAACATTCTCGATTCAAGTTGTTTTTTTTAGTTGAGAATCTGTGGAAACGAGTTAACCTCACTTTCGACAGTAGTTAAATATTGTTTGAAACAAGTGATTTTATCAGAGATTTTATATTTAATTTATTTCTCAATTAGTGTATACCTACCTACCAAAATGCCTAAAGAACAGTATAAGGAAGCGGATGTTACCAAAAGGATGTAAGTACATGATTTAGACTTATTCTTAATAAACTTCCGAAAAGGTGTTGGAATATATAACCATACACCAGCTCCCAATTGCCAAAAATACATCATTGCTTGGTACATTAATATGAATATCTTTAATTCAGCTCACACTTAACCTTTGGAATCGAAAGCGCTGGAAGTATGCAACAGCAAGCCCACATTCACGTAGTTGCGAAAAGTCTTTATAATCAGGATCTTGGTAGAACTCCTATCAGTTATGGAGTACTGGATAGGAGACTGGTAAGTACTGTTTTATACTGGCATTAACAGGAAGGTTGAATGAGGAATGAGGATTGTCTCATACTTTAAAGAGTATACAAAGTGTACTTACATTAATAGTTCGGCTTTCTCGGTCATTGCTTGTAACTTGTATAACTCCATAATTTTTTCCTTTCTCAGGGCACCAATTCGAAAGAGTCACCATGCCAAACTTGTGGAAAAAACATCAACGGATGTGGAGGCCATTTCGGCTATATAGATTTGCAGATGCCCATATTTCACGTTGGCTACTTCAGAAGCATTATTTCCATATTGCAAACAATATGTAAGAAATGTTCATCTGTATTATTACCGAAGGACGAAAAAATGCCGTACAGAATGAAACTGAGCAATCCGCGTCTCAGCTACATGACTAGAAAAATAATCAGGAAAAAGATCGTTGAGAAATGCAAGAAAGTCTCCAAATGTCCTCACTGCAAAGCGGTTAACGGAATTGTCAAAAAAATGACCGCCGCTAAAGGCAGCACCTCTAACACAACGCTTAAAATCGTACATGATGTTGACTACCGGGAAAAGGACAAGGAGAAACTAAGGGAGAAACTCTTAGAGGAATTTAAAGACGCTATTAAAAACAACCCGGACATTAAATCGGCGCTGGGCAACGGCATTGACCGCGTTTTAACGCCCATCGATGTACTCCAGCTGTTTATGATGATTCCAACGAGTGATATTGTCCTATTGGGAATGGATCCAAAAAAGTACTTACAAAATACAACATTTACGACAAACTCAATTAATTGAAACCTTTTAGGGCTCATCCCAAAGACTTGCTGCTAACACGAATGTTAGTACCTCCAGTCTCCATCAGACCATCCGTGGTTTCAGATGTAAAAGCTGGAACGTAAGTTTAGATATTTGTACCCTTGGATTTATTTATAAATTTCATATTTGCAGCAACGAGGATGATTTAACAATAAAACAATCAGAAATTGTGTTTCTCAACGACGTGATCGAGAAACACAGATCATCTGGAGCTTCGTTTAATATGTACCAAGAAGGATGGGACTTTTTGCAGCTCCAATCTGCTCTCTATATTAACAGTGAACTTTCTGGAGTTCCTTTGCACATGATGGTAATTCCCAGCCGATAAAATCGAATATGCGTCAATAACCAATTGCATTTTAGCCAAAGAAACCGGGTAGAGGCCTGGTACAACGTTTAAAAGGCAAGCAGGGCAGATTCAGAGGCAATCTGTCTGGAAAAAGGGTGGATTTTTCATCGAGAACCGTTATTTCTCCTGATCCGAACTTAGAAATCGACCAAGTGGGTGTTCCAAGGCACGTTGCCATGATACTCACGTTTCCTGAAAGGGTGATTCGAGCCAACATTGACATGCTGAGGAATCTCATAATGAATGGTCCAGATCGGTGGCCCGGAGCCAACTATGTGCAACAAAAAGGCTCGGAGTTCAAAAAGTTTCTCAGATATGGAAACAAAGAAAAGTTGGCCCAAGAGCTGAAGGTACCCGTTATCAATGAGTAAACTGAGGAAATAGATCATGAATTGTTCTTTTAGTTGGGCGATATCGTTGAAAGACACCTGCACGATGATGATATAGTCCTGTTCAATCGACAGCCTAGTTTACATAAACTATCAATTATGGCTCATAGAGTCAAAGTGCACAACCACAGGACTTTTCGATTCAACGAATGTGTTTGCAACCCTTACAATGCCGATTTTGATGGTGATGAAATGAATCTTCACTTACCGCAGACTGAGGAAGCCAAGGCTGAAGCTCTAATCCTCATGGGGGTAAATAACGAGACTCAGTTGTTCTGTCTAAACTTCAAGATTTGCGATATGATTTTAGAACAAAAGTAATTTGGTGACGCCTAGAAATGGAGAACTGCTGATTGCAGCCACTCAAGATTTTCTCACGGGCGCTTATCTTCTAAGCAAAAAAGATACATTCTTTGACCGCTCACATGCTTTTCAACTAGCAGCAAATTTATTGGCTGGCTCCGACACGCATATGGACATCGATCTACCGCCTCCTTGTATTATAAAGGTTAGTAATTTTACTAATATTAATTATATGTAATAAATGATGAAACTATTTAATTTTTTTAAATACTTGCTCGTTTTTTTAGCCGAAAACGCTCTGGTCTGGTAAGCAGATTATTTCGCTGATATTTAAACCCAATAAGAAATGCCACATTCTGGCCAATATGGAAGCCAAAGGAAAATCGTATACAAAGAACAAGGAAATGTGTGTAAAGGACTCGTATGTGTTGATCAGAAACTCTCAGCTATTAGCAGGAACTTTAGATAAGGGTCACTTGGGCAGTGGCGGAAAAGGTGGAAACATATTTTATGTAATTCTCAGGGACTTTGGACAGGAGTTTGCCATTAAATCCATGTGGAGACTTTGTAAGTACTACAATCAAGTGCGTTAAGGTGCTATTCAGATAACCTGGTACTTTGCTTTTTACACCATTATACAGGATGTCTCAGAAATAAGTACCGTAAATTCAGAGGTTAAAAGACCTTGCCCAAATACATGGGTACGCAAAAGCTTCGTTTTCAAAATACAGGGCGTCAAACTTTACTTCGAAAATCTACAAAACCATTGTATAGATTTTAATGACACTTTGTGGGTAGTAAAGGCTGTAAAAAAGCTGCTTATTTCCAATTAATCTATATTTTTTATTTCTACGACGATTGGTCGTACGACAGAACTGAAAGAGTGTTTTTTTTATTCAGAATTGAGCAGTCAATTAAAACTGGCGTACGGGTGAAATAAAATTATTCAAAATAAGCACCTCTTACAGCCTTCACTGCCCACAAAGTTTCACTAAAATTTATCAAACCATTTTGCAAAAGTTATATGTAATTTTGTATTTTTTAAAGTAATATTTGACGCCTTGTATTTCGAAAACGAAGCTTTTGTGAACCCATCTATATTCAGATTTTTTCCATATTTGGGCAAGAGCTATTAACCCCTGAATTTACGGTAGTTATTCCTGAAACACCGTATATTTTAGGAGGACAATCTAAAAATCCTATTATATGTAGAGGGTGTCCCATTTGGTGGTGGTGGTGGTGGGTGGTTTTTCTGTTTCTGGATATTCATGTAAAACTGTATAAGTTAATACAAATAGTATATTCACTTCACAGCACGAATGACATCAAACTATTTAATGAACACTGGATTTTCTATTGGCATTGGCGACGTAACTCCTAGCGAGGCGTTAATTAAGCGCAAAAACCATTTGCTTAAAACTGGGTAAATTAAATCAAGCTTTTCCTAGAAGCCAATTCCTAACACTGTTCTATTCCAGCTATCAAAAATGCGACGAATACATAACGCAAATGGAACAGCGAAAATTAGAGTGCCAACCTGGCTGTACAGCCGAAGAGACTTTAGAGGCGATGATGTTAAAGGAACTTTCCGTCATTCGAGACCATGCGGGTCAGGCGTGTCTAGCTGAACTGCCTTCGACTAACAGTCCCCTCGTAATGGCTTTGTCAGGATCGAAAGGTTGTGTTGTAACTAACAGCCATGGAAAGCTTTATTTGGCAGTATTTTTGCAGGTTCTTTGATTAATATTTCCCAAATGATTGCGTGCGTCGGACAACAGGCATTGAACGGGAAAAGAGTGCCGGATGGATTTGAAGATCGATCGCTGCCTCATTTTGATCATCATTGTAGGTGCACAAGACGCTACAATATTATCCTGTTATTATCTGAGTAATGTGTTCTTTTAGCGAAAACTCCCTACGCCAAAGGATTTGTAGAAAATAGCTTTTTCAGCGGCCTCACTCCGACTGAGTTCTTTTTCCATACCATGGGTGGACGAGAGGGTTTGGTAGATACCGCAGTCAAAACCGCTGAAACTGGTTACATGCAACGACGGCTCATCAAGGTAGGAATTTAAAAAAATTCCTATGTTTTTAGGCATAGAATTTGTTTTTTAGGTGCTGGAAGACTTGGTAGTACATTACGACGGATCAGTAAGAAATGCCGATGGCGGTATTGTGCAATTGGCCTACGGATGTGATGGATTAGATCCAATCTACATGGAAGGTATGTACTTTTAAGAATACCAAACACGAATTATCATGATAAAAACAAAAAATGTAGGAAAAGACTGTCCCGTCGATTTTGACCGGGTTTTGGCACACATAAAGGCCAAATGCCCTTACAGGAATGAAGTGCCGTTGAATGGAGGTCAGATTATTCGAGCGACCAAAGCATTTCTAGATACTGGTGCTTTAAATGAGTGCAGCCAAGATTTTAAAAATGAATTGAGGTAGAGCATATGCAAATTCTACTGAGATAATTTAACGTAAAAAAACAGTCGTTGGTGTTTTGGTATTGCATGAGCGGCGCAAGAAGAATGTCACGGTTATCCTCGGATCGAAATTTATCATTTTCTTATTAACTAAAACAAACAGAGCACTGAAAAGTTATTCAAACATCAAGTGCAATAAGAAAATAAAAACGATGCGACTGCAGTTGAGTCTGAATTAATTTTCTTTCGCCGTGGCTAATCAAATCATTCAACATCACGTTAAAAGCCGTGAAGTTATTACCTGAAAAACTAACTAACTGATTGTATTTTTTAGCAAATTTATGAACTTAATCGCCGACAAAGTTGAGAGAATTTTGACTCGTTTCGGTTACACCAGTGTAGTGAAAGAAATCGAAAGATTAACATGCAGTCAACTTGTAACGTTTCTAGAAACATGTGGACAGAAATATACAAAATCAATTATTGAACCTGGCACTGCTGTGGGCGCTTTAGCTGCTCAGAGTATTGGCGAACCTGGCACCCAGATGACTCTTAAAACTTTCCACTTTGCTGGTGTTGCCAGCATGAATATTACTCAAGGAGTACCCAGGTAAATGTGTCCATTGACTTAAAAAATTAAGTCCCGGTCATTCGATTGATTTACAGAATAAAAGAAATCATCAACGCCACGAAGACCATTAGTACGCCCATAATAAATGCCTGTCTGGTCAACGACAAAGATGACTCGTTTGCCAGAGTTGTAAAAGCGAGACTAGAACGAACTACTTTAGGAGATGTGAGACATATCCAGTTTTAAGTCGGTACTGGTAATGGTTTAATATAATTTTCAGATTTCCGAATTCATTGAGGAAGTTTACACAGAAACCAACGCATTTTTGCTCATCAAACTGAACCATGAGAGGATCGTCTCGCTTAAGTTGGAATTAAGCCCGGAGTTAATCCGTTACTGGTAAAACTACTGCATTCCAAACATTTTTTAAACACGCTCCACAACTAGTTCAACAGTCAACAAGTTCTAGTTCAACAGTAGTGCTTTAGTCTTTCACATTTCTTCTTTGAATAATGTATTTTAGCCCTAATATTTACTAAATTTCAGCATATTGACCGACAGCAAACTCAAAATGAAACATTGCGAAGTTCGCATAGAGTACCCCACCATATTAACGATTCACCCAAGTACGGGCACGTACGCTGGTCGGCTAAACTTCGCCGTTAGCGAGTTGAAGGCCGAAGTTTCAAAAGTTGTAATAAAGGTAAATTGGTCAAGTTATTTACCTATAATACTTACGTATTATGACACTAAGCGTGGTCTTTTAAAGGGATTACCATCCGTAAATAGAGCTGTAATTGCCAAAGAAGAAAAGGGCGGGGAAACCACCTATCAATTGTGTGTCGAGGGCAACAATTTTAGGGAAGTAATGGCTACTTACGGCATTGATGGGACGAAAACGGTGTCAAATAATGTTGTTGAAGTATATAACACTCTTGGTATTGAAGCAGCCAGGTAAAAAGACCTTGTCACTGGTTAATAAGGGATTTATGAGCAATATTTTAGGGAAACCATAATGACGGAGATCAAAATGGTGATGGAAAATCACGGAATGAGTGTCGATTACCGGCACATTATGCTGCTTTCTGCCCAGATGACGCACACTGGTGAGGTTCTCGGCGTCACAAGGCAAGGGTTGTCGAAAATGAAGCAATCTGTTTTGAACTTGGCCTCGGTAAGTCTTGCGTTAGTTATGCAAATAACCAAATTAATGTATGATGTTTCCAGTTTGAGAATACCGCAGATCACTTATTCGACGCCGCGTATTATGGGCAAACTGACCAAATCAGTGGAGTATCAGAAAATATTATCATGGGTATGCCAGCACCGATCGGAACCGGACTATTCAAGTTGCTGAATAAGCCCCAAGATGTGGATATGAATCCAGAAACAAAACCGCTGCTGTTTGAAAGTGTACTGACTAAATAATAGTATTCAGTTTCCATTAAAAGTTTTAATAAGATAAGCGCTCTGACTATTAGCTATAATATTTTAATTAATACAGTAATAATACCCTTTAATCCGCATGTTTGAAATGTTTGGCCTTCGGTCCCATGAGAAATTTTGAGGGAAAAAGCCCAATTTTTTTATAGCCAACTTACAATAACAGAAATTTTAACACGAGTGCTGCCGATTCACAGGCGAAAAATTGTCCAGTAACGAGGGATCCGGAGAGCGATTCAAAGAACTACTTCAAAACAAAGTCCGGGAAATGCAGTTGTACCAAATCTATCATGCAGACAAAAGTGGCCTTTTTGGAAATTCCTCCCTCAAAAGACACTTGCTGATCAACCGGAGGCACCAGCCTCAAGCAGAAAGATGATCCATGAGAGAATTACATGTATGCCTTGATTAAACGCTTCTGGGACTCAAAATTAAATTATTAGTGTTAGGAAGGTATGGATAGCCTCGTTTTTTTTTCGGAAATGAATAGTTCCCGATGACTTACAAATAACAGAACTTGAACAAGAACTAGGAAGTTATTAATTGGGAGTCATGAGGAGTAATGCGAATCTTTAAGCGATATGGATATTTTAGTTGTTATGTTCAAGATGAATTACGCGCTAGCTCGGACGAATACGTATGGCCCAACTTCTCACAGAGAAGAAGTCAAAATGAAAAAACGGGCTTTTAAGGCCGTTTTAGCAGAACAAAAAGTCACTAATTTTGAGTCGTATGTATTACGTATATATAAAAATTAAGCCGTTTTATAAACAAAGTTAGACTTTTAATGCATGCATTCTCACCTAAAAATTTTCAATTTACATAATAAAATCAGGAGTAAAATAAGTTAATTACAGTAACGCAAAAAAAGTTTGTTAATCCGAACAATTCGAAAATACGAATTTGCCCTTGCAATAATTAGTTCGGATTACCGACGGTGTACTGAATTCCAAATGATGATAAAAGCTTAAAAAACGCATCAAAAGTGCAATTTCAACATAGTAAAATATTAGGAATCCTTCTTTTGCTGTATCAATTCCCTTAAGCTATTTTCAGCCTCTTTTAGTGAGTTTGATAAATATACCATCTGCCCTTCTAGGGTTTTAATTTTCGCTTCAGCTGTTGTTTGTTTTTTCTTAATGTCCTCCTCAATAGTTGCTTTGGGCGTTAAGACAAACATCCTACCCACTGAGTCATATGTATTGATTGCCGAATCTAGAGCTGCGATCTCCCTTTAAAAGTTTTGCACATGTTAATATACCCACATTTTGTGCCAACCACCCTTGGGTGTGTGGGGAAAAGTTCTCAATATATTATAGGAGATATGTGGAATAATGTCTACTGTACCTTTCAGTGAACTGAGCGTGCTGTTTGCTCCTTTTTAACGCCTCGATTTGAATTGCGGAAATCTTCAGTTTCTGTTCAGTCTCGATTTTTTTCTCTTGCAGCTCAGCAAACGCCTAAACAAAATGTGGGAGTTGAGCGAACCATCTCAGATTTTTATAACTTACTTTTTTCAGTTCCAGATCAACTTTTGCCATTTTTTTTTAATTTACTTGATATATACTGCCAAAATAGGTTACTGATTAATGATACCTGCGAATGATACCACAGATCACACAGGTTACTATTATGTGATCTGTGGATGAGACTGACCCTGTGAACCAGCGTTGCCAGGTTAGAAAATCGAATTTCGGTAGATAAGCTCGACATTTTTCGGTAGATATCGTAAAAAATCGGTAGTCTCATTTTTCCTTCTTGGGGGGGCTAAATAAAATCGCACGTTTTTCAAAACTTGAATTTTTATGAACTTGCAGCAATACTAAAATAAACATAAGAGTCAATAGATATATTTATGATATTTCTTTAAACATTACAACACATTATTAGGAAAAATAAAATAACAAACACACAAAAAATAAATAAAATATGTATCATACATATTGCTAATAAAGTTGTTAATACTAATTTCGCGAACTAATCACTTTTCTTTCTTCTAAATCAAAATATCTCCTCAGTCTTCCAAATTTCCCTATATAAGATTTTATCATTCATAATTAACACAAGCTTATCTTCAATTTCAAAATTATGACAATTGTCGCTCTTAGTGTGAAGTAAATACGAAATTTTAACGATTTTTTTATGAAAAAAAAGGTAGTCCGATCGCCAATTGCATTGCAATGTAGCCAAATTGTTGACAAATAGTTGTTCAGAGGTGTTCTGTGATGTTGTCGACACCGATGCCATTTGTCATTTGTCATTTGTCATTTTGAGCGACTTTCGCCTGAAAGTTCTGTATATGAAAATTTCTTTCTGTTCAGAGATATCAGCAATATTTTAGCTTAGTTTTAGCTAGAAATAAGTCTTCACTTGTTATAGTAACGACAGACATGGTAAGTCTCTGGCTTGACCCTTTCGTTGAATAAAAATTGCATTTTTTTAATCTAAACTCGTTTTAAAACTAATCACACGTGTTTTTACTATAGAAGCCGCTCATTCTCAATGGCCATGAGCGTACCATAACGCAAATAAAATATAACCGAGAAGGAGACCTACTCTTTTCCGCCTCGAAAGATAACAAACCCAATGTTTGGTATTCTCTCAACGGGGAAAGGTTAGGAACCTTCAATGGGCATCAGGGGGCTGTCTGGTGCATTGATGTGGATTGGACAACCACCAAATTTATGTCGGGTGGTGGTGACAACAGTTGTAAAATTTGGGACTGTGCAACGGGCAAAGAAACTGGCAATATTGTCACTCAGTCCCCAGTCAGAAGCTGCCTGTTCAGTTACTCAGCTAACATGGCTGTGTACACAACTGACAAAGCAATGAAGCAACCGTGCGAAATCTTTATAATTGATGTCCGTACTATTGATGACAGCTTCTCAAAGCAAGAACCAATTTTGAGAATTCCCATCAGCGGCTCAAGAGTCTCCTCGATATTATGGGACAACTTAGATGAAACCTTAATATCTGGGCATGAAAATGGGGAGATTATCCAATGGGATTTGAAGGTCCACACTCTCTATCCAGTTGTAGATTTCGCATTGTACAAGGGTGTTTTTAGACCGGCAAGAAACTCAACAGCATTACGGAACATAGCCAGTTAATTAATGATATGCAGTGGAACAAGGACTGTACGATGTTTATAACTGCGTCCAAGGACCACACGGCCAAGCTATTTGATGCTCAAAAGCTCATGTTGTTAAAAACATATAAAACCGAACGTCCAGTAAACTCAGCAGCCATAAGTCCAATAGCTGAGCACGTAGTATTGGGTAAACGCTATGATTAGGTGTGGAAAAACATCACTGAATCAACTGCTTTTTCAGGTGGAGGGCAGGAAGCTATGGAAGTAACCACCACTAGTACACGAGCTGGCAAATTCGACTCCAGGTTTTTCCATTTGGTGTTTGAGGAGGAATTTGGTCGGGTTAAAGGCCACTTTGGTCCGATTAACAGCGTGGCCTTCCATCCGGATGGCAAATCGTACGCTTCAGGAGGAGAAGATGGTTATGTTAGGGTGCACAATTTAGATTCGTCATACTTTGATTATAACTTCGATTACTAAAGCGACTAACATAATTTGAATAATATTCTAATAAACTTTTTTGTAACAGTAACTAGAGATTGTCGTTTTGTTTTCGTCCCGACTTTTCGAACTGTATCAAAGAATCAAAGTTTAATTTGCTTAACTGTAAAGGTCATACATCCAACTAATTTACTAGTTCTACAGTCATTTTTGTATTGCAGACAACGAACGATATGGGATTTTTAATCAGTCTATGGTGTAGATCTTTTTTAGGTGAATAGCCGTTTAGATAGAGTCCCTCCTTCCGCAGAATCCAACAGCTTCCTTTTCAGGGACAGTCTTTCAATTTCGGCCAGCTTTCTAATATTTTGGGGTAGTGGAAGTTTGCAACCAGCTGTCGGTGCAGGCTTATTGCTAAAGAACGGCAATTTCAGGCATGCTGTTGAAGTTTTCCTGGCTATTGGGTTGAGGACAAGCATACTTTCTATCACGTGCAACAAGTCATCGCCCGCTGCAGTAAATATGGATTTCAATGGAATGGGGGGAAATGTCTTAAATTCGATGTAATCGGATAGACTTTTGACTCCAGGCCAATTGTCTTCTGTCGGGTTTCCAAAGACTCCGAAAATTTTGGTCAGCTGATCTAAATCAGATTCTCCTGGAAATAGCGGGACTCGCAATAACAGCTCTGCTAGGATGCAGCCTACAGCCCATATGTCTATGCATGTGCCATACTGTTTTGCACCGAATAGGAGCTCTGGAGGCCTGTACCATCTGGTGACTACCTACAAAGAAAATTCATAAGTCACCCACGATTTCCACCTAACAAGCTGTAACAGCTAACAAACCTGATGTGTGTTAATCCTGTTAGGCGATCCATACAACTTCGCTAACCCAAAATCGCCAATTTTTAACACTCCGCTTGCATCCACCAACAAATTATTTGGCTTCAAATCTCTGTGCAAAATCCAGTTTACATGAAGATACTCCAAACCTTGCAGGGTTTGCAAAATATATGACTTAATGTTGGCTGTTGTAAGAATGATCGTATTGTCCTTAATAATCACTTCCAAATCGGTATCCATAAAGTCAAACACTAAAGACACGTTGGACATGTGGCCGAACACATCCAGAAGCCCTATGAGATTATCGTGGTGCAACTCTTGAAGCAGCTTGATTTCCCGCAGCGCTGTTCTGTTAATGCCATCTTGGGCCTCTTCGCGACTGCCCAATTTTATTTTTTTAACAGCCACTATCTTGTCGGTTTTAACATCTTTGGCCTTAAATACGGTGGCAAACTGGCCTTCGCCCAAAAACTCGATTTTCTCGTATCTAACGTTTTTATTTTCCATGGTTTCAAATTGAGCCCTACTAATAACCGAAACAACAGCACCTTTTCAGGTTAGAACCACTCATAGACAAAAAGAAGAAAAACAACAAGCGCTTCTCTTTGGCGTTATGAACCAAACATCGCAATTTCACATTTTAGTTTTTAAGCAAGGAGTATTTTGAATAGTTTCAGATTTTTTCCCACATCGATATTTTTATTATCGGATTTCTACGTCAACACACAAGAAAAATAAATAATTTATGGACGGATAAAAATTAATTTGATGTTAAAAAGCTTCCGAATTTTCTTAAAACGCATCTTAGAAAGGAACAAAAATACGTCCGAGTTAAACCGTTTTTCTCATCCTTCGATGTGTATTTGTCTTTATCTGTGATTGTTTACAACACAATTGAAATAGGTTATGTTTAGGTAATTACCTTTTTACCGGTACTCAGTAGATGCTGGCGTTAACGGGGGAATCTTTGGCGATAAAATATAATCAGATTATGTGAACACCAAAATGCATTCTGCAAAAGTATTGATCAGAAAGATGGCCTCGTCGTTGGTCTCAAAAAGTTCACCGTTAAGGCGACCGTTTACAGTGATAGTGGAGGGTAACATCGGTTGCGGAAAAACATCGTTTTTAGAGCACTATGGAAAGCACGAAGATGTCTGTATCCTTCCTGAACCTGTGGAGCAGTGGAGAAATTTAAATGGAAACAACTTATTGGTAAGATACTAACATTCGCAGCCACTTCCATTTCGTACACAGTAACATTACAGGGTTTAATGTACAAAGATCCCGAAAAGTGGAGCTTTACATTCCAGTCCTACGTCCACCTTACTATGTTAGAAAATCACCTCAAACCAACCACTTGTCCAATTAAACTCCTTGAGAGGTCCATCTATAGCGCTCGTTACTGTTTCGTCGAGAAACTGTCTAGAGATGGGTTAATGTCGCGTCCTGAAGCTGCAGTACTTGATGGATGGTTTCAGTGGGTCGTGTCGCAAAACCTGGTTCCAGTGGACTTAATAATATACCTGAGAACTTCACCTGAAGTGGCACGTGAACGAATTCTCAAGCGGAACAGGCCAGAGGAGAAAGCAGTTTCTCTACCCCATTTACGAGCCCTACACGACATTTATGAAGACTGGTTGTTTCATAAAACTCTATTCACTTGTCCTGCTCCCATTTTGATATTGAATGCTGATTTGGAGATGTCAGTGATAGAGAGTGAATATGAAAAGTGGGAGCCTTATATTTTCAACAAGGCAACATCAGAGGCACAAGCATTTTAAGATTACTTTACTATACATATGTGAATATGTGAGTGATTTGTATTTTTGTATTATATTTATGTTCGGTTTAGGGTTTCAGCTTTCTGATATAGGAGCGTTCATGTCGCTGAATGTTCCAGTATCTATCTATCTTATTGTATTGTATGTAGGTTGTTATTAAAATTTCTTTGACAATAAATCTAAAAAAGATGAAATGAAACTGTGTTTTTTTGGAAATAGTTAAAAGTAAATTCCAAGTAATCCTTGTCTTTTTAACTCAATCCGACATGAGGGTATTTTTACTGTTTATAATTGTTTTTTTATTCTGGCAATTTCAAATTTTTACGATGTTTTAACTAATCTAGGTAAATCTATATCAGTTAAAGTAGGCTGTTATAATGTTACACAAATAGAGGCGATTGTGTTTGTTCTCAGAATCTACTATTTTGTCAGTTATTATTTGATAAGTATTACTCGGAAATGACGTCACACGCAGCATGTGCTAGCAATTTGTTGTTGAAAACATTTAGATCTTGTCACAATAGACATAACCTCTATGTTTTTGAAATATACAATTTAGCATCCTTTTTACTATTTAATTTTACATGCACAGTTTACATGCATGTTTAGTCGGGAACGAGACAGCACGCTCATTTTTGAGAAAATTTCGTATTAAAATTTAACCATGGAGAACACTAAAGATAATCAGCCAGGTAATTATGGACAGTCTAATCAGGGACCTATAATGTACTTGAATGATTTCTAAGTAAAACACCACTTTTATACTCCATGGCTATGAAGGATGTTTATATTTAAACCTCTTTACTGCACGCCTATCATGGATGGTATCTAATAATCCCTATCTTAAAGCCGGGTGAAAACCCGACTGATCCCGCCTCTTATAGGCCCATTTCCCTCCTCAACTCTATCGGTAGTTATTCTATCGAGACTACACTACAAAAATAGCACAATACGCTGATGATATGGCTATACACATAATCTTTTTATGCTCAGGCTGCCAAATCTCGCATTGCACATCACCTTAAAGTGAATCCCCGGAAGCTTATCTGGCATAATTAGCGTTCAATTCAACTGGCGTTATTATTATTTATCAGAATTTATGGAAGTTTATTAATTAAGATAACAATTCATAGAACACGAAAAAACGCGATGTAAACTGTATTTTACCATCAAATTCTACATGAATTAGTCACTTCTGGCCAATTTATTGCACATTGGAATACATATTATTAATTAAAAGAGCAATCATTTTAGGGGCATTATTGTAATTACAAAAGCACATTCTCAATTACAGGAGCGGAAGACCAAAGTCTCGATGAAACTGAGCCATCTTCAGCTGTTCAGGAATCCTACTCAACCACTGAAAGTCCAACACATACTATCGATGAAAAAGCCCTACGGATAATGGTATGTGATAATATCGCATCCTACTATAACATTTTATTGGTTCCTAGATCTAACAGTTACTTTAGCGCTAATATTTACGTATTACGTATGACTGTAAATCCCCAAAAAATATCTGCTCACCTAAGTATATTTCCAGAATTTGTCGGAATTTAAATATTCAGGGATGCAATTTAATTTTCAATTGATATAAAGAAACAGGTTTGCAAACACATTTTTTTTATTCGAAATACTTATTTCTCCTCCAGACTTACTGTTTATTCTTTGTTCAAAGCCTGCCAAAGTTCCTTAAACTATTCCAAGTGGTTTCGTAATGTTAATAATTTAAATTCTGGTACATGACAATTTAAACCATTTGTTGATCGAAATCTAAGCGTTTTTGGAATATTGAATATTAAGAAAATGGTCCAAAAATTACTTGTACTAGAACACCCATAAAAAACGCAACGACTACCTAAGTAACTAACAGGGGCGGATCCAGCTTTAAAGTCAGGG